GCCAAACCAATCAGTGGACTCATTTACTAATCACACACCCTTAACCCCAGCACTGCACACTCTGGATACAGCCACCTCTGAAAGCCGGACCCCATAACTGCGTGAGGCCTTGCAGGGACATCTAGACACAAACTGTAAGTCACCTTAACATATTTTGCATTTGGTAAGGTAATTATTTAGGTTGTACATATAGTCATTTCCCAGACACTTGGTTCTTTGAAGATAATGATTTTTGGGAGAGGACAGTGGAAGTTTGACTAGATAGTTGCAAAATACTAATCTCTGTGTTGGTTCTTTGAATTTAATTCATTCCTTTAAGGCTGGTCTCATACATCTAAGGGTGCCCCAATCCTTTGTTAGGGATAGAAGTTTTTTGTCTTGTTTTTTGTTTTTTGGTACTGGGAATCAAACTCAGGACCTTGCGCTTGCCAGGCAGGCGCTTGTGCCGCTGAGCTACATCCCCAGGCTGGGATAGAAGATTGTAATACGATTTTCTATGATTTCATAGAACCTCACATTTCTTAGTTACATATTTTTAATTATAAAGGTTATGTGCCCATTTTTATTATTCCAGAATTTGGGGGAAATAAATGTTATTTTATATAGTCATAGAAATAACATTTAAAAATAATTTCTGGGAGAGGGGAGGGAACAAGAAAGTCTTTTCTGTGATCACAGTGACTCTCAGAAGGCAGGTTTGGGAGCACTTCCTCTTACTTATTGTGTGTGACGTAAGGCCTCTAAGTCTGAGAGTCCTTACCCGTAAATAATGACACTGCTAGCAATCTCCAGGGGGTAGGAGGAGGATCATTGAGAGATGTAGTAAATACATGATATATGGTGAGGACTAAATAAAATATAGCTATTGCTTTTGTTGTTGTTGCTGGTATTTTATCAGTTCTAGTATCTGCATTGCCTATCTGATTAATTCATTCATTTGCTTCATCTAAAACCTATTTCACCAAAGCATGGCTCTTACATTAAATATTTCTTATACCTGATTCCCTTAGAAAGGAGAAAACTTAAGTAATGTTATAACTAACAGTGTCAACTTGAATAAGAAGCACCCAGCTGACTGGTTTAGCAGGGTCCTGGGTGTGTCCGGATGATGGACTCACTGAAGAAGGAAGCCTCATGCTGAGTTGGGGGGACACCAACCAACAGGTTTGTGGCCTGGATGGGATGAAAGGGAAAGAAAAAAGAAAGTGTTATATGTGTTTGTTTGGAGGAGCTCCAGTCTTTGCCGTCACCTTTGGATATCCATCTTCAGCCTTGCAGAGAAGACTCTAGCCCAACCCTTCAGCTTCTAGAAATGGACTCAAACAGGACTCTATGGTGAGCTCCAGGCCTTGGACTTTTGACTGGCGACTTCAGATCTCCAAGTGCACAGATGGCCCTTTTGCACTCTTCCACACCTGACTCCACTGTAAGCCCACCTTATAAATCTTTCAGTCATCTATCTATCTATCTATCTATCTATCTATCTATCTATCTCTGTCTTATAGTAAATCTGTTCCTCTACTGAACACTGATACAAGTAGCAATTTCAAGTAATCAAAAACCCTATCCATATACAAGTCAAAGAAGAGTAAATATATTTTGCTAAAAGATTAAATGCATTGTAGTTTACATTAAATAATATCAAGTGAGTCAGATTATAAAGTTTGGTCAGACACAATATGAAAAATAATGATCTGTAGAGTTAAAAATGCCAAAAACAAAAACAGGTTTAGCTTTAGAAAGGAGGTTAAAACAAGGTTTTAAAAGCATAGATATATTCTAAACACACTTTTAGGCCAGGGAGGTAGCTTGGTGGTGTAAGTGCCTGCCTTGCAAGCAGAAGGTCCTGAGTTCAGTTCCCGGTACCAAAAAAAAAAAGAACTACACACATTTAAAAACCCCAACTGTAGTGTCATGTTGTAAAACATCTAATAATAAAAAGTTCCTTAATGTCAATCTTGTATATTTTGTGATCTGATATTAGTTAACTTTAAACATATGAGATTGGTCTATAGTTTCTTTTCTAAATGATCCGTGCAGGTAATCATTCTAACTGTAACTTCTTGCCTTGAAGCAAAGTTATGCTCTACTTTTCATAACCCATTTGTGAGGATTTCCAGGCAGTAGCAATCTGGTATCACTTTTAGTAGTGTTTAAACTCAGTGTCAGAGACACACAGTATGACTAGACATCAGTGTAGTGTACCAGAAAAGGATAGTCCAAGCACTCATGTTGGCTTAGGAATTGCAAATATCGATCATAGGAAGAAATTGTTGGCCTATTGGGCAGACAGATCAAATGGTTTTCCACACAATCTAACTCCAACCTTGGGGTGACTGCTACCTGATTGTGCCGAGAAGGATCCTGAGGATGGAGTTAATACTCTGGGAGAAAGTGCTTCTGCACCATGATTTTAAACAACATGACTGCCACAGATGGCCATGAGAGGGGCTGACTGTCAGCACTCCTCTAGGTTTTGTGTCTTACGTATGACACAAGCCATGAGTTTCCGGACTGGAGTCCGACATCTCTTCCGTCCACCCCACCTTACATCTGCCCCATCCTTCTCTGTGCATGTAGCAGATTCCGCCCTGCCGGAACCTCAGCTGGCTATCACAGTACAAGCAAGGAGCAGAGACTAAGTTGTGATTCTTGTTTGCAAAGAACGGCAATGATCCCTCTTTATTTTAGGCAGTAATTTATTGCTGGAAGTTCTGAGAATCAATAGGAAGATTAGAAGAGCAGTTTCAGACAGGAAGCAAGAAAGGTAAGGCGGAGTTCCAGTCCTGTTTAGGACGCAGTTGTCACCAGTACTGGGCACTTGTCCCCTACTCTGCCACCCCTGGACACTCATCTTTTGACCTCGGCCTCTGAATTCCACCGTGACTGATCTGAATCACCTTTATGTCACTCCCTCAGTACTCAAAATTCCGGAGTAGAGCCCGAGATTACTAGTGCAAGCACTCAGATCAAAAGCCTATACTCCAGGTACTCAGGGAGGATTAATTATCAGAAAAGGACAGAGAAATTAAACAGATACCCTCAAAAGGTCACATGAGAGGACACAAAGCGCCCCTCCAGCTTAGAAACTGCTGTCAGACAACAGGGTGAAGACCCAGTTTGGAGTGTGAAAGTTTGGTGCTGTGGGAAGGCTGCCTAGGAACACGCAGAGTGGATTCCAGGAGGCCGCGTTGAAGGTAGGAATTTCAGTGGATATCATGGGACTAGGGCCAAATGGAAACAGAACTGAAGTCAGAGCATAAAGCAAGAGAAGACCTCAGAGTAGATACCAACGGGGTCGACTAGATTGCGAGGAATAATCCAGAAGCTAGGGAGGCACAGTGAGAAAGTCTACGACTTTATAGCAGGTAACAACACAGGAAAACAAGAAGACAGGGCAGATTTACTGACGTTCACAGTAAAATTGCCGGTTGTGACCTGTTAATTTTAAGATGTTTCATCAACATCTGTTCATCACAGTACATGTCTTTACACAGCCATTGATCTGGTTGTTAGGCAACCCTTGCCCAGCTGAAGGGAAGTAAAAACCATAATCCGTGTAACCCTGGAGGCCATAAAGACACTGATCGTTAAGAAATTGATGAATTACTTCGCTGCTTCACTGAGCACCAGGAGAAACCCATCCTTTGGCCTGGCCCTCTAGATCTTTGCCTAAAGAGCCCCACCTTCTTGCTCACCGGGCTCAGCAGCAGTACTGACCTGGTGGGCTGGCAGGGCCAATGCTATGGTTTGTGTCTAGATGTCCCCTCAAAGCCTCATGCGGTCATAGGGGAGGCTGAGCCTAGAGCATGTGATTGAGTCACGGTGCAATGCTAGGATTAAGGGTGCTAGGTGATTACTGGATCAGGCCGGATTGGTTCGGCACCACCTAATCCGGGTAAACTGAATGCAACACGAGGAACAGAAGGAGGCTTGCCGGCCCCTTGTTGCTCTGCTGCCTTCTGCCTGCCACGAACTGTTTTCCTCTGCGAAGCCACCCTGCCTCGGAGCCTGCCATGTTGGACTGAAACCTCTGCAAACTGTGAACTAAGTAAACCTTTCCCCCTTTCACTTTGGGTGTCAGGTATTGATCTCAGCAACCAGAAAAGTCAGGAAGACAGCCAAGGCGTAGCCGATGACATCCGGGTGGGTGGGAGCTGGGCCACAGGCTTTCCACTGTTACAGAGAGAAATGCCTGATTACAGCCCCAGGGATGGAAGCAACAGCGGCTGATCGCTCCCTGGTAGCAAGCTGGAAAAGTTTATCCGACAAAAACATTTCCTGGTAGAATCACAAGTTCCAGGGGGTTGGAGTGGGCACTGGCCCAACTTCCAGTCAAATCATTTTACACATTACTAAACTTAACTGAAAACATTTCACTTTTCTAGAGACCTGGCAGAGCTCATAAATTGCTTAAAGCTTTCTTTTTTTGTTTGTTTTTGTAAAGCTTTCTTTTTTATCAGGCAAACTTTCTTAAAAGTTTGAAGACTGGTCTCCAGTTACCTGAACACCCAGACAATACTAGATCTCTCTACTATGCAGGAGGGACACACGAACATGTTTCTTCACTCACTCATTTAACAAATAAACACGTTTTCAGTTAAAAGTAATTTCTACCACACCAGACTCAATGACTTTGTAGACTGATTTTTTAAAAAAATGTTTTTAAATACACAGCCTTTGGAAATAAGTGTAAGTGGAATAAGTGGAAATAAGTCATTAAGCGTGGTGGCACACACCTGTAACTCCAGCACTGGGGAGGCTGAGGCAGGAGGATCCCTGTGAATTCAAGGCCAACCTGGGCTACAGTGAGTTCATAGCGAAACCCTGTCTCAAAAAGACTGAAAAAAAAAAAAAGTCACTAAGTGTAAGATTAAAACATTCTGGCATTTACAGACTAAAGTTTGTCACTGGAAAATAAATATTCTAAAATAGAAAACAGGGACACAAATAAAAAAACAAGGGGGTTAAGAGACACGAACTCAACCAGTAAAAGGGTAAACGGGTATTGGCGATTTATTGCGAGACAATTTAGGAAGACAAAAATCTATTTAGAAGGTTAGAAAGGCAACAGCGCAAGGAATTTATTTTCTGGTTTTAAGAAAAACCGAATGATGTATTTACAAAAAAAATTTAATGCCCAAGACAGTCAATGACAAATGAAGTGCAACAAAGCAACATTCCACACTCCCGGCACCTTTCGTTAACTCGCAGGCCTGTGCCTACCTCCCGTGCACGTAGTGGCTGAACAAGGTCTTTCAAACCCTCACGTGCATTTCCTTACGTTCCTAGGAAAGCGGAATCCTGACACACATGACTGTGCTATTCGTTGATGATTCCGAATTTCGCTAAAAACCGCAAAGGAAACCAAAAGTGCCACATTAAAAATTCTGATAACCCCACCAAACAGGAAGCACAAGCGGGAAACTCGGAGGCTGGCAAGGCAGAGCGGCCCCGCCAGGGGCCGGGGAGACCCCGCTCTCGCGCCGGCCCCACCTGGGGGCGCGCAGGTGCGCGCGCACACGCCTGCCGCGGG